CCCCCCCCGCATTTTTAGGAGGTTATTTTGCTGGTCTTCTGTGACCTTTTTTGCTCCAATTATTGTTTTCTCTCTTGGTCCTCATACCATGAATAATTCCACTTATTGCATATTCTTTTGAAAGAGTAACAGGGAGGTCTCATGCACGAAACAGTTCCCCTAGCTTCACTCATTCTGTTTATTAAAAGAAACCAGAAAGTCCTTCTTGCAGTTCACGTCGTCTTAGGCAAGTAATAACTGTTCTGTAGACATCAAAATGTTACCTAGATTCCTCAGGCAAAATCAAACTGCCTGTGCATTTGGCAGCAACACAGTCACGGAAACTTCTCCTCTACTTGTGTGTGTGTGTTATATAAAGTACAGAAAGGGAAAATGTCGCCAAACGATTCTTTCTGCCTGTTCTCTGTTGAAACTTTATTCCTGCAAATACCTATTCTGGCTCACAGAGCCCAAGAGGTTTAGCGATGGCCTCTGCCTTTTCCAGGGGAGGAATACTCTCAAAATTTTTTTGAATACCAAACATGAGGTATAAATTCAGACCTCATTCAACCATGATAATTATGCATGCAGACCTGAAGATGAGCTCTTCCATAAACACCCAAAGTGCTTCTCAGTCACATCAGGTTGGGCTTCAGATTAATCCTAGAAAGGAAGTCTAAATACAATAACTTTTCCACTCAGGGTCTCAGCTTCTCACCAAGCTAAAACATTTATGTTTTAAAGGGACAGCTAAGGAGAGCAGGAGGGAGACCATCTTCCTTTTATTCAATGTAGGAGCATTTGTCTCTTTGCCAAATACAGTTTGAAGCAGATCTTTCCAAAGGGTGCTGCTGTGTAAAACCAGTCTGTCAAACTTATTTTGTTTCATGGATGAATGTCCAGTCAAAAGATACGTGTTTCTCAAGTCGGTCTTCTGCAGACCCGAGAGGCTACTTTGATGTGTTAAGTGAGGTCCAACCCCTTCTAAACTTTGTTTTTGTTGCAGTTACAATTGTGAAGCACAGTTGATTCACTTAGATATGGTCTGAGTGAGGAAAAAGCAAGCAAATACTCATATTTCCCCCAACCGTCTCTAGAATTAAACCTGTGCACTGTGTAGGACTGATTTTTTATCATGAGTTTACCTTTAAGAAATATATTATCGAACTATGACAAATAATCAACTTCTCTACTATGCAGGGAGCATGGAGCTTTGAACAAATCACGCTTTTCTTACAGTGCTTTGGAGAAGATGGTAAACAAGGGTAATGTGATGAAAGAAAATCAGAAATTGTATCTCAGTGCTTGGGGTTTGTGGGATGTTTTATCTGCCGCTGCACATAAAAGCTAAGATATTACTGGACATGGAGGAGCACTGCATTTGTAACAGCAAAGACACGTAATCCTGTTGAAAAGTAGCATGAGTTAGACTCACTTAAATGCAAAGATCATCCTGTTCCTGGTCTTATTCGCTGTGTGCTAGCCCGAATCCAGTGTGAATATAGGTGACTGTCAGCACCGAAGAAGATGAAGTCTTACCTTGATTTTGAACTAATTCCTGCTTTTAAATCCTGTTAAATGTACTCAAATAGTTTATCAGCACTAATTAGGATTTTAATGCATCTTTCCAGATCGCAGAAGCAGCCTACAGGAATAACACTGCCTCCATCTATCCTCAGCCCAAGGACCTAGAAGCCTTCATCCGCTCTCAGGTTTACAGTACTGATTACAACAGCTTTGTGGCTGACTCCTACACCTGGCCTGAAGAAGCCATGAAAGTGAAACTGTAAATATTTAATGAACAAACTAGCAGCAGTTAAAAAACATTTAAAATGTTCAGAACATTTCTGCCTAGTAAGCATAAGAATAGCTAATTTTTTAAGATGCAGAAAACTTTTTCTAAATTGTAATATGTGGTTAGAAACTGAGATTGAGAAATCAAATTAATTATACATGAGAAAATAAAAATTAATCTGAGAAATGTATTTGTGTTGTTGGGGTTTTTTTATTATTATTTTACATGAGATATCCTACGCTACAGTCTGATATGTTTTTGTTATCAAAATAAGGGATTCTACCTTGAGTTCAGAGTTTTGTCACAAGTGTCAATTAGAACTTAAGCAGACAAATGGCACCATGGAAAATTAAGAAATACATATGACAACTGTTAACCCATTACAGGTCACAATGTAATTTGCATAAATTGTCACGCTATTATTTAAAAATAATTTTAAAAAGCCCAAATCCACTTTAAAGGGCAGCAAGTTTAGAATATTTTCCGTCAAAGAAAAGCTTTATTGGTCACTCCTGCATGGAGTAATGAAGATTTTCTAATGAGAGCTGAACCTGCAGAACCTTTTGTTAACTTCTAATTAGAGTACTTGAACGTTACTTAGCTAAGCTAAAGTCCTGTAAATTATTAAAGACGTCATTCCCCCAGCAATGTAACTGGTGTTTTGATACACGATAGTGGTTTGGTGTAAAATTCATGGAAGTGCTTGGACTCCATGTTCCTGACAAAAAGGGAGTATCAAAATGTTGTGAATAGGCTTCTTTTGGACTAAATATTTTCTTACAAACACCAGCCATCTGGCTAGTAGTAGGGTTTTTATGTATTAAACCTAAGGCATTCC